ATTTGTGTATTTCCCAAAGTCGAATAGCATTCAACATATTAGAACAGCTCCATACCATCCATCATCCAATGGTCTGGCAGAAAGAGCAGTCAAAACTTTGAAGGCAAGCTTAAAGAAACAGACTACAGCTTCATTAAGTACCAAACTGTCCTGGCACCTATTTGATTATAGGACCACCTTTCATGCAATGCAGGGATAGCTCCAGCAGAGTTGCTAATGGGGAAAATACTCTGCACCAGGTTCAACCTGATCTTCCTGGACCTGGGGGTGGAGAGGGTGAAATGGCATCAGGAATGCCAATGTTGGACACAAGACATATCTAAGAGAGACAGTTTACTTCAGGGGACAAAATTTGGTGTAGGAACCATGGGAATGGCTCTGCATGGGTAAGAGGCATGGTTGATGTGAGGTCAGGTCCAGTGACGTGTAAAGTTTGGGTAGGTGCAATGGTCCTGAACACATACATGAACATAATGAAAGCTGCACACAAGGCGGGAGAAAAACACGCCCGGCCCCTCGGAACAGACAGAAAGGCTGGTCGAACCTGTGGGTTCTCCCTCTCTGTCAAGCATTGAAGAGACCTCAGAATCTGAGATGGAGATGACAGATCTCATTGCCTTAACATCTTTGCCGCCTGAAGAAGAAAATGAATTTCTTCCAAGACACTCTGGGTGCAAGAAGCGAGCTACTGAGCATTACACACCACCCATATCCAAGGCAGAGTCAGAGGAACCTGACCTGGTGCTAAAACGCCCCAGAAGGAGCTCCAAAAAAATGGCCTATGTCCTTGGATTAAGATGGGGAAGGATGTAGTAATTGTAACGAGGTCAGCTAGGTGGACTTCATACAGTATGAGTTCCCTGATTGAGGCTGTTAGTCTGGTCAAAGCAGGGAGACCTGGCTGACAGATAAAAACAGGAGTGTCAGAGGCTCTGTTCACTCTGAGAGCTGGCTTTGAGGGAGCTGGATCAGTGTCAAGGATTTTTCACGAGTAAATACAGGGGGACTTGGTAATGGGATACCGGCCTCTATGGAGTTAATTCAGGAGGAACTCATGAAAATACAATTATCAGGGAAGTTGTTCATTGTAAATTGTTTGAACTGAATTGACAAGTCCATAGGTCCTGATGAATTTCATCTTATGGTCTTACAAGTAGCCAATGTGATAGTTAGTGCATTGGTTTTAATGTTTAAAAACTCATTAGGTTCGGGAAAGGTTCCTTTAGATTGGAAAATAGCTAATGTAATTACTTTATTCAGAAAGGGAAGGAAGGCAAAAAGTAAGAAGCTACAGGCCAGTTAGTTTAACATCTGCTTAAGGAAAATGTTAGAAGCCATGATTGAAGATGCTATAATACAACCATTCATGAAAAATATCACCTATTCCTATCTTCTGTTTCCTGTTAACCAGCCAATCTTCTATCTATGCCAATATGTTACCCCCAACAATATCAGCTCCTATGATGCTGCTTGGCCTGCTGTGTTCATCCAGCTCTGCACCTTGTTGTCTCGGATTCTCCAGCATCTGCAGTTCCTACTATCTCAGCTTTATTTTCCACTTGGTTAGCACTTTGGATTTGATACGTGCAAGGTAATCAGACAATGATAACATGGTTCTGTCAAAGGGAAATTACGTTCAACTAATTTACTGGAGTTTTTGGAATGAGTAACTTGTGCTATTAGATAAAGGGGAACCAGCAGATGTACTTAAACTTTCAGAAGTCACTTGAAAAGGCGCTGCATCAAAAGGTGACTGTGGAAAATAAAAGTTCATTTTGTTGGGATAACAGGAAGCAGAAAGTAGGAATAGATGTGTGTCTTTCAACCTGGCAGATGGTGTGTCATTGGTGACAATGCTGGGCCTTAACTCTTTATAACCAGAAATGATTTGCATGAAAAGACCTAAGGTATGGTAGCTAAATTTGCTAATGACATAAAGGATAAGTAGGAGAGTGAATTGTGAAGAGGACATAAGGAGCCTACAAAGGGATATATACAGGATATGTGAAAGGGCAAATATCTAGCAAATCAAGTACAATATGAGTGTGTGTGAAATTGTCCATTTTAGCAGAAAGACTGAAAAAGAAGCATATTACCTGAATGCAGAACTCTGAGATATAGAGACATCTGGATGATCTACTGCATGAGTCACAGAAGGTAAGTATAAAGGCATAGCAAGTAATGAGGAAAGCTAATAGAATGTTATGTTTTATTGCGAGGGAAATTTAAAGAAAAACTAGGAAAGTCAAGCTTTAGTTATACAGGGCACTGGTGATACTGCATCCGGAGTCCTTTTTGCAGTAGTGGTCACCATACTTACAAAGGACATTAATGTGTTGGAAGCAGTTTACAGAAGGTTTGTTAGACTAATAACCTGGAATGAGTGGATTGCCTCACGAGGAAAGGCTGGGTCTGTATCCTCTGGAGTTTAAAACATTCAGAAGTGACTTAATTGAAACCCAAGATCCTGAGGGAACTTCACTAAGTGGATGTTGAAAGGATGTTTTCTCTTGTGGCAGAATCTAGAACAAGGGGTCATAATTTAAAAGTAAGGGATTGCCCATTTAAGACAGAAATGAGTAATTTGTTTTTCTGAGGGTTTTGAATTTCTTCCTCAAAAGGCAATGGATGCAGAATCTTTAAATATTTTTGCTCAGAGGTAGATAGATTCTTGATTACCAAGGGAATGAAAGATTATCAGAGATATGCAGGAATGTAGAGTTGAAGTTAAAATCAGATTAGTTGTGATTTTATTGAATGACAGAGCAAACTCAAAAGGGATGAGTGGCCTACTTTTGTTCTTTGTTCGTATGTTTGTATGACTAGACTAAGAAAGTTGTCTTTTGCTGTTTACAACATTAATGTACGAATGTATGATCTACAAAACAACATGTCATTATCCATCTATTCACTCAATCCACAGAAATTAGCTGATGTTGGAATAGATTAAGTTCCTAATGTACAATAACATTATTGAACCAACATTGTAGTTAGAACTCACTTATCTTAATGGTACCAAAATCAAATGGTCAAAAAGATTTTGTATTGAGTATTGCAAAGTCAATGCAGTGACAAAAGCAGACCCATGGTTTCAAGATTGGAGAACTGTATTGAAAAAAATGGGATATGAAAATTGACTTGGTAAAAGGTTATTGGCAGTTCCATTGACCAGTACATCTAGAGAAATATAACCTTTCATAAAATCAGATGTACCTTATCAATAATAAAAAAGATGCTGTTTGGAATGAAAAGTACATCAACAACATTCTAATAAAGTCATTGAGAATTTATGTAACTGCACAGTTAATGTCAATGATTTGATTGTATTCAGGCAAAACTAGGAAAAATATTTGTTACAGAAAATCTGCAGCCTCGCATAACTATGTTTCAGTGAATCATGTTAACTAAAGAAAAGATACGATCTATAAAGGACAGATTTCAACCTTGTCCAGTAGTATCATCAGCTGGGAACATAAGGAGACCATTAGCAATAGTTGAAGAGAAATTAAAGGCAAATTACATGTACAGAACCTCAAATTTGGACATCCAAAAACCAGATTGGCACTTTGCGAGGAAACTCTCAACAATTACAACATGTACTTAATTTGCACTGTATTAAATAAAATGCCCCTCGGGTACCAGCATTTTGCAGCTGTCCTGAACTGTACTTTCTGTGATCCAACTCATTTATGGAATAGCAGATCAGAATTTCACTGAAAATATGGAATTTATGCACAGATCCAAGATCCATGAAAATCTGAAGACCAGCAAGGTCGGATTTCACACCTATGTTGACGCCTCTGGTGACTGTCTGGAGTTTGCATGTTCTCCCCGTGTCTGTGAGAGCTTTCTCTGGTTTCCTCCCACAGTCCAAAGATGTGCAGGTTAGGTGGATTGGCCATGGGAAATGTGGGGTTACAGGGATAGGATAGGGCAATGGTTCTGGGTGGGATGCTCTTCAGAGGGTAGATGTGGACTCAATGGGCCGAATGGCCTGCATCCACATTCTAGGAATTCTATGATTCTATGATCTGGTGATAAAATTGGTTGAGCAGAAGAACTGAGTGACTTATTTATGAGCGATTTTTATGCTGGGACAAAAAGCCACCTATTCAAATATACCACCATGGCACTGTACGGAGAGTCTGATCAATGCATGTTGTCATTATGCCAGAGTGAACAAAAGCTTTGGCAACTGGATTCAATGCAGGTAAATAAATATGACCTAAAAAGGACACAACAGGGTACTTTCTAAATGGTGAACAGGTAGAAACAATGGACCTTCAAAGAGATTTGTGGGCTGGGGTACACAGATTATTATCATATATACCCATCGATATATTTTAATGAAAAAAGATCTCAATGGAATGCAGACCTTTATTTCTGGAGAAATGGAACACAAGGGAGTAGAAATCATGTTTCAGCTACAAAGAGCTGCTGTCAGACCAAACCTGGAGTATTGTGGGTGGTTCTGTGTATCACCGTTTAGGATAAATATGTTGGCCTTTGCATGGCTAAGTCTTGGCAGGTTAGATTTCCTGAATGAATGGTGAAACTGGCTCAAGGGTTCAAATAGCCTGCCACAATTCCTATGTTAACATAGCATAAACATCCTAAGATTCTTCATATCAAGAAAATTTGAGAGAGATGAGTAAAATGATACTCAGAGATATGGGTTTCAAGGACCATTTTAAAGGAGTTTGGGGTAGACTCCGACAGGATCAGGGAGTTAATTCCAGAGCTTGGGGCCTAGGAGGCTAAAGGCATTACTGCTAACAATGGAGGGATTTTAAAATAAGGATGTGTAAGAATTGCCTCATTAGTAGAAATATTCAAAGAAAATAAAGAAGGACAATTTCCAAATTACGTTCTGTTTTTTGATTCACTATTGCCTGCCACAATCTCCAGAAGATTGTTATTAATCCCTGGAGACTCCAGAAAAATCCTGCAGAGTTGGTAGCACAGCCACTTCCCCACACCCCTCAGAGCTTCAGAAATACCTGTTCAATTTCTTCACATTCTCTGGGTCGGAGACATGTTGGCATAAAATGAATAACTTCACACGGTCTTATATTAGAAACAATTGATGGCAAGATGCGGTCCAGTAATTTTTTAGGCTCCTCCAGTTTTGCAATTTCAGTGAAGTCAGCATTTTCAATAGCTTGCTGTAGTCCAGTGTAACCTGCAAACAGAATACGCAGAACATTAACATGAAATATTTTATACTTCTTAAATTTCAAAATGTGTTGCTAACTCTGGTGTGGTATATTCAGGAAGGTTTCACCAAAATGATTTTTAAAATTAATTCATGGGATGAGGGCGTCGCTAGCTTGCCAACGTTTATTGCCCACCCCTACTTGCCCAGAGAGCAATTAAGGGTCAACAACATTGCTGTGGATCTGGAGTCACATGTAGGCCAGATCGGTCAAGGATGGCCGTTTCCCTCCCTAAAGGACATTAGTGAACCAGAGTATTTTTCCCGACAACTGACAATGGAGCTGTGGTCATCATTAGATCTTAATTCCAGATTTTTTTTATTGAATTCAAATTCTACTATCTGCCTTGGTGGGATTTGAACCCACGCCCCTAGGATGTCACCTCTAGATTAACAGTCCAATGATAACACCACTAGGCCATCACCTCCCCATCTTGCCTCCAACTGCCTCCCCATATAAAAAGCCTTCTACCACCCCTAAACTCCAATATTTTACTAACTATATTAAATGTGTTTTATAAATGTATGTTGATGTTATACCAGACTGAACTAAAGTGTGATCTGGTGCTCAAATTCTTTTCTTCAATCATAAGTCAAAAGGATACTACTGAGAAAAAGTATGTGCTCATCTGCCTATCATTTGTTTTACCTCAGGTTACTGCCACTCAACTCATTTAGTTCAAGGAAAAAACTTGGGATAAGGAACAGGAGCAAGAAAAGGTATTTCAGCCTTTCAAGCCTTCTCTGTCACTCAAAAGATCATCTGCTTTCTAAGATCTTGTACCTCAGATCAATAATCCTAGCTCATCTCTACATTGCTCAATTTCTTTGGAATCCCAATGTCTTTCAATCCAAATCCTGGTCGATAATGGCTCTGTATTGCTCCAAATTATGTCACTTATTCATCAAAAGAAACAAAAAACTTCTCAATAAAAGCCTGAAACTTCCAATACTTTTCTGCTCTTTGTTTGAATTCCTTAGCACTTCTTTATGACAGTGGTCTCTCTGTGGCTGTTGCATGACCTAGTATTGAACCCACAAAGGGCAAATAATGCTTTTGTGCCCTGGCTGATGAAACAGTTTGCTCATTAAGTGTTGCAAATTCACCATTCTTTAATTAGCATTTTGTAAACTCCTCACAATGAATTTGAGGCATTGATAAACTAGTAACATGTTAATGATGCACTTTCCAAGAATCTTACTTACCTAAATAATGACAATACACAATGGAAAACAACTTTTGTTGAGAACATAACCTGAAGAAGGAGGAGGTAAGTGTGGCTTTTCCGCAAAATTCACTCACTCACCTGCTTCTCGTAGTTCATCTAAAAATGCTCGATACCATCCTTGCTCTTCCAATTTAAGCAGACACTCAAGAAAGAGCTCTGCAGACTTTATGACTGATTTTTCTTCCAATGATAAAATCTGCTCAGTATCAACTGGGGAGAGAGAACATTGCAAGTCATGAACCAAACTGAAAAGAGTTGCCAACATGAGCACCAAGCATGAAACAAGATGAAATGTACAAACTAGGAAGTAAAAGGTCAAACGTACAAAAGTTTCTGTCTTTAGTTGGACATACTCTTGGAGCTTGCATGATTACATCCCATCTCTCCTATATATCTCTGGCCACCTGACACTCCCATTGCTCATTGAACATGTTAATCACCATAGTGCCCTGCCTTCCAACAGCAGACTGAACCATCAACCTGTTGGCTAATCCTAAACACACAATATTTTCTTTTCCTCAATGTCCAGTATCTTGCTAACTTGTGAAAGTATTCAAGGAAATCTATTCAAGGAAATTTAAGCACAGTTTTTGTTTTAAATGCCCCTTTAAATTCTTGGAGACTCCAGGATAATCCTGGTGATCTCTGCTGTTTGGAAAGCATAGGAACCTATTGAGGGCAAAGAAAGATTGCACTGAGGGCAACATCTTCACCTGGACTCAAGTAAAATGAACTCAGGAGTCAAAATTTACCAGTGAGGTCTTATAGTTGCCATGAGTAGCGTCCTTTACCTCAGAAGTAGATGCTCTGGGTTCAAGTACCACTCTGGACTTGGTAGTCATGGAAGATGTTCATAATGAGTCCAAACAGTTTGATCATCAACCTACAAATCCTTCTAATATGGCAGACAGGGGAGTCTCCTAGTCAGCTAGAACCTTGTGGTAGCTGCAGTACAACAATGTCCCCAAGCAAGAAGACTTCAGGTGCAGTTTCTTGCCACTGGTTATAGTACGTGGCAGACTCTTTGAAAGACTCCCAATCATCATCAAAACTGACCAATTCAACCCAACTTTCTTGACAATTGATTATTTTGCTTCAGAAATAGAAATTGCTGGAAAAGCTCAGCAGGTCTGGCAGCATCTGTGGAGAGAAATCAGAGTTAACGATTAGGGTTGAGTGACCCTTCCTCAGAATGGGTTTAAGGGTCTGATTTATAGTATCCACAGTTCTTTTGGTTTTAATTAGTTTGTTAGGCCATTTCAGAGGACAGTCTGAGAGTCAATCAGATTTCTGTGGATCTGCTGTGAGCGATAGAACAGATCGGGTAAATATGGCAGATTTCCTTTCTTGAAAGGATATCTGTAAGCAGGTTTTGGCAACAATCCAGTAGGTTATTGACTACAATTATTGACACTGACTTTTTATTCCAGATTTGCATTGAGTTTTAACTAACTGGCTGCAGTGAGTGGAATTTTCACTCCTGTCTCTGGATTACCACTCCATGACATGCTGTGTCTATTAATCTGGAAGTAGTTAGAGATTAGATTTTAATCAAGGACTGAGGTAGGGAAAGAATAAGGGAGTGTGCCAGTGGAGTAATTGGAAAAGGCAATGATAGGGAAGAGGACAGATCTTCTTTCACTTTGTTAATTCTTCCTCATCCTCAGTTTAAATGATAGCGGTTTGACTACAAATGGATAATCTACAGAAATATATGATCATAAATCTGGAGATAATCTGCTGATGTACTACACAAGCAGAAAATACTGCAAACCCATATTCTACATTGGTGACTTCTCATCAGGACCTAAAATATCAGCTCAATTTCTTTCTCTGTAGATGCAGCCTGACCTGTTGAGTGTTCACAGCATTTTCTGCTTATGTAAAAGATTAGCAGATTATCTCCAGATATCTCCGGATGCTGGAAATCTGAAATATCAGCAGAAAGTGCATGAACACTCAACAGGTCAGGCTGCATCTACAGAGAAAGAAATGGAGCTGATGTTTTAGGTCCTGATGAGAGGTCATCAATCAATTTCTCCTTCAATATCAACAAAACAAAGGAGCTGGTCATTGATTTCAGGGACCAGAGTGGCAAACACGCCCCTATCTATATCAATGGTGCTGAGGTGGGGATGGACGAGAGCTTCAAATTCCTAGGAATAGATATCACCAATGGCCTGTCCTGGTCCGTCCACTTTGACACTACAGTCAAGAAAGCAAACCAACACCTCTATTTCCTCAGAAGTTTAAGGAAATTCGGCATGTCCACAATGACTCTTACCAATTTTTATGGATACACCGTAGAAAGCATCCTATCCAGATGTACCACAGCTTGGTACAGCAACTGCTCTGCCCAAGACTGCAAAAAATAACGGAGTTGTGAATGAAGCCCTGCCCACCACAAAAAACCAGCCTTCCTTCCATTGACTCCATCTATATTTCATGCGGCCATGGGAAAGCCGCCAACATACTCAAAGACCCCTGCAAGCCTGGTTATACTCTCTTCCACCTTCCTCCATCAGGCAGAAGATACAAAAGTTTGCAAACACGTATCAATAGATTTAAGAACACCTTCTTCCTCACTGATATCAGACTTACGAATGGACATGTTATATATTAAGAGTTGATCTTTCTCTGCACATTCTCTGTAGCTGTACACTATATTCTGCGTTGTGTTCTATTACCCTGATGTACTTACGTAAGGTATGATTTGCCCGTATAGCGCACAAATCAATACTTGTCACTATATTTTGGTAAATGTGACAATAATCAAATCAAATCAAATCAACCTGTAATATGTGTTACAGGATCTTTTGCTTATATTTCAGATATAATCTTCGAAGGGTCACCCAATCCGATTTCTCTCCACGGATGCTGTTAAACCTGCTGAACTTTTCCAGCAATTTCTATTGTTGTCTCTGATTTACAGCATCCGCAGTTCTTTCAGTGGTCTAGAGGAGAGATAAATGGGAATAGCTTCACTAACAGCTGCTGTCTGAGAAAAAGAGAAAAATGGATGTGATCTGCAATTGTTGAATTTGATGTTGAGGCTGGAAAACAGCAAAGTGACCAGTGAAAAGATTAGGTGCTTTTAATTGAGCTTCACTGAAGCAGCATTAAAAGCTCAAGGTTAGAAATTGGAGTGAAAGTGGTGTAAAGAATTAAAATCGCAAATAGCTGACAGTTCAGGATCATAGGTTCCAAAGAAGAATCATATTGGACTTGAACTGTTAATTCTGTTTCTTTCTGTAAGTGGTAATAGACCTGTTGACTATTCACAGCTGTTAATCTCTCATCAATGAGTCTACAACAGACCCAGCCACGAGCTGTGGAAAAGACCCAGTAGCAGAAAGCTTTGGAATCATCTTTCCAAGCTCAAACTATGTAGGGCCACTGCTCTCAAAGGGGTTCTTGAATCAAAAATATGATGTACGTCACATACCAGCTGAGGCATCAAGAAAAGAAAGTTGTGTTAATTTCATTGATCAGAGAACACTTAGAATCTAAAAGCAGGGTCTCTTGGGTACAGTGGAGTGCTCCTTCCTCTGAACTAGAAGGTCTGTGTTCAAGTCCCGTCTGCTCTAGAGGCACGCCACACGTATAACACATAAGACCAAGCTGATTAAAAACAAAATTCAGAATCTAAAAACATTACCTAACAGCCTCTTCGGACTTTCTGCAAAAACAACGAAGCTGCAAAAGACCCTTCTGCTGGAGTCTCATCAAGGCAAATTGCAAGTCCTCTCACTACCCCTCTGTCAGTGATTTTTTGCGTCCAAGCAGTGAGCTGTGTACACCATGGGCAGTCATACCCCTGAATCTCAGCTCTGCACTCATGGAATACTGAGCGAAGACCCATCAGCCCTGGCCAGTGGGGTTCACTGTAGGATGTCACCTTGACAAATAAACTGAACAACTGGGAGTGGCAGAGGATCTCAACAAGCTTTAATTGGTCAAGGGTTCAGAAGGTATTTGACACATCAGACAGAGTCTGGAACCTCACACGAGTCCGCAGTTCATTTTGAAAAGCCACAGCCATATTAAAAAAAAGGCTCATTTGTCAGCCAAAAAAACACATGTGGCTGACGGACAGTTTACATATGCTGAGATAACAAGGTGTAGAGCTGGATGAACACAGCAGGCCAAGCAGCACCAGAGGAGCAGGAAGGCTGACGTTTCCCTTCTTCAGAAAAGAGGGTCTAGGCCTGAAACGTCAGCCTTCCTGCTCCTCTGATGCTGCTTGGCCTGCTGTGTTCATCCAGCTCTACACCTTGTTATCTCAGATTCTCCAGCATCTGCAGTTCCTACTATCTCTGAAGCATATTCTGTGTGTTTTTTTTTCAGTCTCGCTGTGGCTTTCCATAACTAAATGCGGACTCGTGTGAGGTGGCAGATTATGTCTGATGTGTAAAATACCTTCTGAACCCTTGACCAATTAAAGCTTGTTGTGATCTTCTGATACACTAGCCTGGGTGCAGTTTCTGTGACAGCCACGTATATATATTTATTTATTGAAACGGCCCAGCAGAATCATGGTGAGCATCTCTTTACATTCAGTCGCAGCATCCATTCCAACACAATTTCCTTTGATTTAGGGAGTTTTCATTTCGCTAGCTAGGGGTGGAACCCGGGGGATAAACAGACCCACATGTACAGTTTATACTGTCCATGATGATTACATTCAGAGGAAAATCAGGATGGGCGGGGTTTAAAAAACGTCAGTTTCTGGACGGGCAGATATGGTTAATATCGCACCAGCAAAAACAAAATCATGCAACAGCCATTATTTAGAGGTAGACCTGCATTCCCCATGCAGATGGCCTTAAGGACCTCCGCTTCTTCCTGTCCCGCAGGCCCGACCAGTCCCCCTCCACTGATACCCTCATCCGCTTAGCTGAACTCGTCCTCACACTCAACAACTTCTCTTTCAATTCCTCCCACTTCTTACAGACAAAGGGGGTAGCCATGGGTACCCGCATGGGCCCAAGCTACGCCTGCCTCTTTGTAGGTTACGTGGAACAATCCCTCTTCCGTACCTACACCGGCCCTAAACCCCACCTCTTCCTCTGTTACAT